TAAAAAGGAATGGAAGTATATGTCCACAGGGCATAAAACAGGATAAACTTTATGTGTTGCATGGACAAAAGGTTCAATGTGCCCAAACATTTGGAAATATAGCACAATGTGATCCATGTGTTGCATAGAGAGCTTGGCCATTCAGAGCTTTGCAAAAAATGCAACAGTTTGCAGAAAGTTTAAACTTAAAGGGTGTAAGGTATACTTAGACTATGCAGTGTGTAAATCATCAAAATCCAAGGCATTCCAAGTAAACAAGAGTAGCACAAGAGTAACAAGAGCTCTAGAGCTGGTGCATGCGGATTTGGTTGGCCCAATGCAAGCCAGTTTGGGAGGAGCAAAGTATGTACTGGTCATTGTAGATGACTATAGCAGGTTTGGGTTCTGCTATTTACTAAAGAGTAAAATAGAGGTGCTACAGAAATTTAAGCAATGGGGCTTCCAGTGGCACTTCCATCGAAGACGGACTGAAAACTGCAATTGTGTGCAGCTTTGATCCGTGCTTATCCTGTTGGAGGGTCCCAATGGGACTGAATCCATCTCGGACCCACCTCAGAGGGGTTGGAAAAGAGGGGGAGACCACCAGACGGGTCGAGGGGAGCCACATCTCCCCTCCCTGACTGGGCATATTCCCCTTGAAGACAGGAGGTAGCGGCAGTTTTAATGGCTGCCCTGAAGACAGGAAGCTCCCAGGACTTAAGTATGTCCTGGAGCAGTGGAGCAGTGAGCGGCATGTAGCCAGATAAAAGAACTTGGATTTTTTTGACAACCCCGAGAAACAGAAGGAAAGAGCCCTCATTTAAGAGTATGACAGCATCGAATGGAAAATAAGAGGAAAATATAAGGTAAATTAAAAAAATGGATTATAAAAGAACTACAACGGAATTAGAGAACAAATTTAGAATAAGATACAGAAATTGGCATTAATTAAGCATTAGGTAGAATGCTGGACTTGCCCAGAATTGATTATATTTAAAAGAGCTAATGGGTGAAAAATAGCATTAATACAAAAGTGGAAAGTGATACAGAGTGCCATCTAATGATTAAAGGCACTTTTTCTCTTATGATTTCATGGAAAATTACTGGTCTTATAAATGTGTGAATGAGAAATGAAATGAAATGAAATGAAAGACTATATTATAACAATAACCCTGGAAGCACTAAAGGGGGGGGGGATTTCAGCACAAGGACAAATGAAGATAATACCTTGGGACTTTTTGGTGTTGATTGTGACAAGGAGACAAAAGGATTAACAAGAGGAATTGAGACAAATGGATATTTTTGGCAAGGACGAAAATAAAAGACTTTTAATAAAATATAGAATAACTCAACTGATTAAAAAATGAAAGAAACAGGCAAAAAATTGAAGTTGGAACTGCAAACTGTGAAAGGAATGTTAAAAGAAAGAACGGAATTATTGGACACACTGGCAGAAAAATTAATGGTGATGCAGTTCACAGAAGAACAAAGAAAATTCAAGGAGGAGTTAAAGGAAGAGGAAAGCAGCTTAAAAGAGCAGAGAGATCAAGGGGCATTGCCAAAAGACATAAAAGGAATAAAAAATAAGACATTGATGATTGATGTAATAAATAAAAGGGAAAATACTCCAAGAAGAAGCTGTACAAGAAGAAATTCCAAAAGAGAAAACAGCAAAAAAAATAAGCGATTGGCAGATGAAAATAAAAACAATACTAGAGGAAAAAAGAGGAGTTAAGAGGAAAGACCGGAAAAACTTACAAAAAGGAAAGCTGGTTAAAATTACAAGAAATTATAAGGGCGAGAGATTTAGAGATAAGGGTTAAAGATATTATAAGGGGGGATACCACATGGAAATGTATTTTGGTATTTTTTATTAGAAATATAGATTGGGGAGATTTGAAATTTAAAACTTATTGGGAATTACCATAAGATTATTATATAATTATATAGGAGAAAAATGAAGATAAAGTGAGAGAAATTAAGAGGTCTTTATTGTTATCAAATCCGTGTGTGTGTGTGTGTATGTATATGTAATTGATTATCCAAATCATATCAGAAAAACAGAGAATATGGTAAACTAGAAAAAATTATGCTATTATGACCAAAAAGGGTGAGGAAAATTAATAAAACTTTATAGGTCAAACTTGGCTAAATGGAAACAAAAAGGAAAGTTAATTTTCTCTTTTTTTCTTTTTCTTTAGTGTGTACATATTATATTAAACATGAAATAGAAAATGAAATTGATTATATAAAGGATATGAGAAAATAGAGAATATGATAAATTAGAAAAGATTATATTGGAATGTAAAGTATTTGTAATGAGAGTATTATATTGTGATTAAAAAGGAGGGGAATAAAACTTTAATAAAATTTTATAGGTAAACTTTGGCTAAGTGGAAACAAAGAAAAAAAATGAAATAGCTATATGAATATCTTTGGAATAAATATAAGATTTATTGTAGACTGGGGGATATACCATGTGGATCCTGAATAAATTAGTTTTATTTTATTTTTACTCTTGTTTGTTTGTTTATTATATATTGGCTTTGAGAAAGTTAATGAAGATAATAATGAATAATGTAAAATAAAATAGGTGGTAAGCTGAAAATGGAAATAATAAGAGATAAAGAATGGAAAATATATGTGAGGATGAAATGTTTTTGATATTGAATTAGTGAATTGAAATATGAAGTTTGAACTTATTTAAAGATCAGTGGAATAGATAATGATTTGATATGAAATTAGACAAGAAAGTTGGAAATGTAACTATGACTATGTATAAATGTAACTATGACTATGTTGTAACCTGGAATCACGTTGCTTACTTGAAGAGATGTGTAAAAAAACTTATAATAATAAAAAAGAAATTTAAGCAATGGGAAAGCTTTGTAGAAAGACGGTATAAACAACAGGTATGTCAGCTGCAAACTGACAGAGGTTCAGAATTCGTGTCAACAAGTTTTCAACAGTGGTTGGGACAGTTAGGAATAAAACACAGAAACAAAAATCTGTACACAGCAGCTGAAGAGGCAGAATGGAGTCTTACAAACCATGAAGGACTCACTGCTAGAGGATTCTGGTCTGAGCAGGTCATATTGGGGTGAAGCCATGTTGCCTATCAATTATTTAATCAATAGGCTGTGGAGTTCCTCAATTAATGATATTCCATATGCAGTGCTGTATGGGAGAAAGCCATATCTGGCACATTTAAGGGTGTTTGGAAGCAATGCATGGGTGCATATTCCAAAAGCAATCAGGAGAAAAGGTCAACCAAAAGCTAGAAAGCTCAGGTTTACAAGCCATGAGCCTGGCTCAAAGAGGTATCGTTTTAGCGACGGGAGCAAAAGGATAGTGATTTCAAGGCCTGCTAGCTTTGCACAGCAAAATTGTAACAGAATTGATGCCATTTTTTTTTTGAATGATCCACTGACTGATGGTGATCCACTTAATGATTGTAACTTAGTGATGGTGTCAGCATTCAGGGAGGAGGAACTAAAAAAAGAACTAAAAAAGGAGTCAGGAGAAGATGACGATTCAGATTTGAAGCCAGAGAGGGCTAAAACAAAAGAGCAGTTAATGCCATGCAGGTCAGAGCGATGGAACAAGGGGATTCCACCTGACAGGTATTCTCCTAGTGAAGTAAAGGTGTGTAATGTGTAGTATGAGCCAAGGAACTATAAGGAAGTATTAGCATTACCTAAAATTGAACAAGTAAAGTGGAAAGAAGCCATGGACAAAGAAATGAAATCTATGGGTGAACATCTATGACTTTGTGACAAGGTTGCAAAGCTGTAGGATGTAAATGAGTGTACAAAAGGAAAGTACTGCCCAACAATGAGATACAATCAGGGGTGGGATTCAAATTTTTTAACAACCGGTTCTGTGGGCATGGCCTAATTTGTGGGTGTGGCTAGGTGGTCATATGATGGGTGGAATTTCCTGCTGGAGCAGGGGGTTGGACTAGATGACCTCCAAGATCCCTTGCAGGCCAGCCCTAGATTGCTGTGCTGCTTCAAAGTCTTCTGAAGCCAGGGTTTATGTCCTTCCTTCCTCTCCTTTTTTCTCTCTCCCTCCCTCCCTCCCTCCCTCCTTCCATGTATTTATTTATCCATTCATATATCTCATTTACTTTCTCCTCTCTCCCTCTTTCTTTCTTTCTTTCTTTCTTTCCCTTTCTTTCGGCCCCTTCCTTCCATCCCCCTTCCTTCCTTTCACTTCTTTTCTCTCTCCCTTTTTCTTTTTTCCCTTTTCTTTCTTTTCTTTCTTGTATGTTCCTTCTCTCTTTCTCTCACTTTCTTTCTCTCTCCCCTCTCTCTTTCCCTCTCTTTCTCTCTCTCTTTCTGTTTCACCCTCTCTTTCTCTTTCCCCCTCCATCTCTCCCTCTTTCTCTCTCTTTCTGTCCCTTCCTCCTTTCCTCTCTCCTTCTAAAGCTAGGAAGCCCACCTGAAACACACACACACACAGGGGTGGGATTCTCTCCTTCTCTTTCTCTCTCTTTCCCTCTCTCTCCCCCTCTCTGTTTCACTCTCTCTCTCTCTCTCTTTCTCTGTCTCCCCTCTCTTTCTCTCTCTCTTTCCCCCTCTCTTTCTCCCTCTCTCTTTCTCTCTCCTCCCTTTCTCCCTCTCTTTCTTTCTTTTTCTTTTTGTCCCTTCCTTCCATCCCCTCTTTCTGACTTTCACTTCCTTTCTCTCTCCCTTTTTCTTTCTTTCTTGCCCTCCCTCCCTCCCTTCCTTCCTTCCTCCCTCCCTCCCTTCCTTCCTTCCTTCCTTCCTTCCTTTCTACTAGAGATGTACAGCCTTTTCTTCCAATTCTAGCTATGCCCTTGCACTTGCCACTGCAGGAGCCCAGCAATGCTGTTCTCATCACTCCAACCAGCAGCCACTCCTCCTATCAAGCTGGCAGCCAGGTGGGAAGAGGCCCAGGATGAGCACAAGGTGGAGAAGAAGAGGCACAGCAAGGTCCCGGGTGGTGGGTGAGGTCCCCAGAGAGGGCTGTGGGGGTTCGGGGAGGCACAGGGACAATGGGGGAAGGGCTAGCATGACTCGCAGGCTTACCTGTGAGCAGGGAGATCAGTGAAGAGGCTTGTGTCACAGTGAAAGGCAGGCAGCAATGGCTGCCCTGGTGGGCAAGCAGAAGCAGGCTGTAGGCATGTCACGCGTGCTCATAATGTTGCACATGCATGACAGGAACTGACCGGGCAGGGAATGGAGAAGTGGACCGAGAGGGGCAGGGCCAGCCAGAGGCCTGATTTACCATTTCTCCAAACTACCAGGAACCATAACAACTGGTTCTATAGAACCAGTGAGAACTGGTAGAATCCCACCCCGGGTACAATCTAAAGCAACATTAGAGGCACTAGGTTTTTCACAAAAGAAAAATGTGCACTATGATGAAGTATTCATGCCAACTGAAAAGAATGAAAGCATAAGGTTGGCACTAGCATTGGCAGTGACACGTGACCATAAAATTTGGCATTTTGATATAACCGCAGCATTCCTCTGCAGAATCAGAGGAAGAAATTTACATGGTTCAAGCACCAGGATATGAAAGTAAAAAGCCTAACAAACTGAACAAGGCCATTTATGGGTTGAAGCAGTCAGCCAGAAACTGGAATATCCGTTTAGATAGGGCATTAAAGGGTCTTGGGTTCAAGAGTTGCAAGGCTGATGATTGCTTATATATTGGAAAGTTACAACATGGGGATTGTCACTTGTTAGCATTTGTGGATGATCTTTGTTTCATTGCAAAGGATTTGTCACAGAAAAAGGAATTTGCAATTATGCCAATGGTGTAAAAACCAGAAAATTTAATTCTGGGGTTGTGGTATTGTTTGGAGGGGCTTTAATTGGTTGGAAGTCCAGAAAACAAACAACTGTAATCATTTCTACTGTGGAGGCAGAATTTATAGCTCTATCTGAACTTTGTTAAGAGGTAACTTGGTACATACAGCTGTTACAGCAGTGGTACCCAAAGTGGGCAGTACCACCCCCTGGGGGGCAGTGGGATGCCTTAGGGGTGTGCTAAGAGGCAAGGGGAGGAACTGGAGGAGGGCCCCTCACAGGGTACAATTCAGGTGTGGGATTCTACTGGTTCATTACCATTCCTGGTAGTTTGGAGAACTGGTAAAATAGGCCCCTGGCTGGCCCTGTTCCTCTCCACCCACTCCTCCGTTCCCTGCTCAGTCAGTCCTTATTGCACATGCGTGACATCATGCACACACACAACAATCACTGATGGCCACAGCGGCGCTTTGGAGAAGTGGAGCAAGCAAAGCTGGAGGTTGGTAATTTTCACTGCAAAAAGCATCCAGGTGCCATGTGTTTTTTTCAGTGCAGCTGGAGTCCACGCTCAGCCAGCAAACCACGCCCAGCCAGCCACACGACCACCAAGCCATGCTCACAAATTAGGCCATGCTCACAGAACCAGTGGTTAAGAAATTTGAATCTCACCCCTGGGTGGGGGGCACTGAGGATGAGTTTGTAGCACCAAGAATGCAATGAACTGAAAGTTTGGGAACCACTGTATTAGAGGATTTAAGTGTAAAGACAAATGATGCTATAACAGTGTTTGAGGATAATGCTGCTTGCATTAAAATGAGAACAGGTGACAGAGTGAATTGTACACCCCTATCTGAGATAATCCATTGGGAAGCTCCATGAAGGCAATAAGTGTGTATTAAAAACATCTTTGCCAATGCCTTGGCTGCTGGGATCTTTTGGCAGGATACAAAATGAACCTGTTTTGAAAAAAGGTCAGTTACAACCCAAATAACAGTATTTGCTGCACTTTCAAGGGAGCTCCACTATAAAGTCCATAGAGATCTCTCTCCAGGGTGCTGAAGGTTCTGCCACTGTTCGTAAAAGCCCAGGGGATTTTCCTTGTCTTCTTTTTGCAGCAGTGCAGATAGGACAATTAGCAACATAGCTTTCAATATTTTTTTTTGAGAGATGGCCACCAGAATTGCCTTTTGATGAGGTGCAGGTTTTTTACAAATCCAAAGTGTCCAGCTATTTTTGAATCGTGACATCGTTTCATGAGGTTCATTCTCTGGCTGTCAGGGACATAAAGTTTGTTTTCTAACCAGGCTAGACCGTCTTTGAGTAAGCAAATGTTTTTGTTAGCCTGGAGCCAATCATCCTTAAGTAGTGCCTCCTTAAATTTGGAAGTTGTTGCATTATCAGTCAGTGGTTTTTTCTTCCCATGTGCTCGGGTGATTACTTTGGCTGCAAGTTGGGTTGGTTGGATCATGGGTTTTACAACTTCAATCTTTTTGCTGTTCTATTGGGGTTTCCTAGACAGGGCATCTGCCAAGAAAATTTTCCCCCAGGAAATATTTCAGAGTGAAATTAAACCATTTAAAATATTGAGCCCACCTTGCTTATTTTGGTGAGAGTTTCCATGGAGTTTTCAGGGCTTCTAGATTTTTATGATCAGTCCAGATTTCGAAGGGGATTTTGTTCCCTTCTAGGAAGCGTCTCCATATGAGGAGTGCCCATCGCACAGCATATGCCTCTTTCTCCCATATGGCCCATCTTTGCTTGGTTCCTATCAGTTTCTTAGGAGTATAAGCACATGGTTGCAACGGTCCACGTTCATTCTTTTGGAGTAGAACTTATCCAACTGCTACATTGCTAGCGTCTGCTTGGATGACAAATAGAATAATACTGGGGCTGCTATTTTTGTTCAGGTACGTTCGATAAAACCCATTTTTCGATTTTGTGAGCACCCAACTCCAGTTTGATTAACTCTGTTATTTGGGTGGCTGGGATCCCCCCAATTAATGTCTCATTCACTTGCTCAAATCTGATTGGACGTTTAAGGGGTTTTGTCTTTATTCCCAATTGTTCAATGACGGGGAGCCCAATAAGGCATCTAGAGCATCCGGTATCTATGACAGCTTCTAACTCCCCTGTTTCCCCTGTGTCAGGCACTACTAGCTTCACTTTGACAGTACAAGGTGTGATGGGTGCGCTCACCATAGGGTTGTCTTTGTCAGTGGCTTCTCTGGGGACGTGTGTTGGGTTGGAAGTTTGTTGCTCCCTTCTGCATGGAGAGGACATTCTACGGTGTGTCTAGCAAAGTGGCCAGAGTCGGGAGGCTTCCCTTGAATTTTTCGACCCCTGGTGGCTGCATTAGACCTTGGCTGTGGAGCTTGTGGAACAGGTGCAGGGGCCAGACAGTCGGCTGCTCTATGGCCATTCTGGCCACAATGATAACACTTTATCATTCTGGTGAGTCAGGTGGGAGCAGCTTCAGCAGGTCTGGTCTGCAGTTGTCTGGCCACTGCTCTCCTAGGAGGGCCTTCAAGTAAGGGTCTTCTTTGTTGATTGATGTCGTGGTCTAATTTGAGGGCGGTGGTATACCACGATTGTATTGTCTTGGGAATCTCCCTAATGTTGCAGGCCTTTTTTACTTCTGGGTCAATGGCATTTTTAAAATAGTGCAAGATGATTTTTTTCAGGCTAGTCCATATGGTGACTTGCGACCCTTCTAAAGTCCCATAGAAAGTCTGATAAGATACACTTGATCTTACCCAAAAGGCTGAGAAGTGATGTCTGATGTGTGATAAGGGTCACTTGGCCTGTTTCATTTCCATTAATTTGTCCTCATTTTCTGCCACTCTGTCTGGATTTTCAAATCGGAATCTCAGCAAATGAATAAAAGCATAGATATCCTGCAGCTCTGGGGCCTGTTCGTAGTGCAGTTGGGCCACCCAGTCAGAAGCATCCCCCTCATTCATTCCATCTATTATTGCAGTAACCAGATCTTGTTCTGTTGCATATTGGCCTCCTAATTGGTCTATGTGAAACCAGGTTCGAGTGAGGAAATAAGCGAAATGTTCATGGTGTCTGTCAAAAGTGGCCTTGAACTGTGGCCTTGAACTGCATCTGGTCTGGTCTGGGGGGTGGTATCACCCTGGCAACCGCAGGCTGAGCTGGAATGAAAGGGGCCTGATGAGGCATTTATCCACTTGGGAAGGGTCTTCTGAGGCCTGGCTGGGTTGGGCCTCTCTGGAAGAAGGGCCTCTGCAGGGTTGCTCCGAGTGGGGGCTGATCAGGAGCTTGCCAGGAAGGGGCCGGTTGTTGCCTTATTCCCTGCATGAGGAAAGCGGGGGGTGGGGGTGGCTGCCTCCTGCTGCCTGTGGAGATCCCTTTGTTGGGAAGGGGTCGCTGATTCTCTCTGTGAGGCCAGGGCACTGCTGGCGCTGGCATCCACTGGTACTGGACCCACCCTTGGCCAGGATAAAATCCCCACCCTGGAGGGATATTTTCTGCAGGGGGTAAATTTCCTTCTGAGTGTCAGGGGTGGGAGGACTTGGAGGTGCAACATACCTGTTGTAGTCTGCGTCTCTCATCTCTCCCTTGAAATTCGATCCTGTTAGCCTTCCGATGTAATTGGAGCTCCACACCTCCAATCTGCCTCCTTTGCAGTACGTAAAGGGTTTGAGGGAATGATTTCTCTAGGCAGCTTTTTCTCCGGTCCTGTCTGACAACTTCCCTGTGAAGCTGTTCCTTCAGGCTAGGCTCCTAAATCTTGTCTCTCTTCCACATGCCTGAACTCCTCCAAAGAGGGGGCTGGGGGATTCAATTAATCTTCCAGAGGGCCCCCCCCCAATGCCCTTCTGTCTCACCTCACCTCTCTCACCTTTGTTGGAATAAATCCTGGGGTTCAGCAACCCCTGATAGCTCCCCTCTTGGGAGTGTTGAAAGTTGTTAAAGTTTCGGATTAGTGTCAGCATTCCAGGGAAAATCCATTCCAGTCAGTAACTCCAAGACACACGTCATCTCAAAGTACTTTTATTAGAATAGCATCTGGCACGTATTGTGGAAATCCGGAACTAAATCTTCCCAGCTTCTTCACAAAGTCCCAACCCACAAACTATCCCTTTTCCTCATCACCCCATCACATAAACCAATCCCAAAGTAAGTTCTAATTCTTTCTATGCCATACTCTGTAACCTTGAACGATCAAAATAATATTTTTTTTCTAAGAGCTACTCAATTAACATCACCCCTCCCACTTTCTCCAACGATGTGGTAGCGATGAATTCCATAGCTGACAGTGGTCACATGTTCCCAAGCAAAGAAAGATCCCTCTGCCTTAGACAATACCACTACCTCAGAATTCAAAAAAGCCTTGGAAACAGATGAATGGTTTGGTGCCCATAAACATACCTGCACAATAAAGGATGGATTAACTTGGGTGGGAAACAAACTGTATGTGCCAGCAAAGGAAAGACTGAAAGCTATGCAAGCCTGTCCAAACTGACTCCAAATTAGCTAGACACTTTAGTTTTGTAAAGACTCCACACTTACTAAAGTGACAATTCTGGTGGCCATCATTGAAGAAAGATGTGGAAAGCTATGCAGCAAGTTGCCCTATTTTGCACTGCTGCTAAGCGTAGGCAAGGGAAAACCCCAAGTCTACTACAGCCAGTTGCTGACCCTTCAGCACCACGGAGAGAGATTTCCATGGATTTCATTGTAGAACTGCCCAAGAGCTCCGGAAACACAGTAATCTGGGTTGTCACAGACCTCTTCTTGAAACAGATCCATTTCATTCCATGCCAAAAGATCCCTACAGCCAAAGCCCTAGCTACACTGTTTTTAGATTCAACAAATTACAAACCATCAACCAACCAATGTCATCCCTGCTGAGGGGGATGCTTCATTGGCAGAGGAACTGAATCATTTCTTTGCTTGCTTTGAAGTGGAGATCAGAGACAGATAAAATACAACCACTGGCCAATTGTAGCCCTCACCTCATTGTGGAGGAGCAGGATGTGAGAAGCATTCTGAGGGCTGTGGACCCTAGAAAGGCTGCTGGTCCTGACGGTATCTCTGGCCGAGTGCTAAAAGACTGTGTTAATCAGTTGGCTGGAGTCTTTACCAGGATCTTCAACCGGTCTTTATCCCAGTCCACTATTCCATCTTGTTTGAAGGCTTCCACCATTGTTCTGCTGCCGAAGAAGTTCCCTATCAATAACCTGAACGATTATAGACCAGTGGCACTCACTCCTATCATCATGAAGTGCTTTGAAAAATTGGTCTGCCGGTACATCATTTCTGGTCTTCTGCATACATTTGATAAACATCAGTTTGCATAGGGAAGAAATAGATCTACAGAGGATGCTATAGCCATCTGTATAGCATCCTCTGTAGATCTATTTCTTCTGTATGAAGTGTTTATCAAAGAAGTGTATGGTGTTTATCAAACGTATGCAGAAGACCAGAAATGATGTGCCGGCAGACCAATTTCTGAAAGCACTTCATGATGAATGAGTGCCACTGGTCTGTAATCTTTACACTGCTCTGACTCATCTAGAACAGCAGTGGGGGGGGGGGGGCTATGTGAGGATGCTTTTTGTAGATTTTAGTTCTGCATTTAATACAATTCTTCCAAATAGACTTGTGTCTAAACTTCTGGACCTTGGACTTTCTAATTCAATCTGCCTTTGGATTATAGATTTCCTGTCTGGCTGCTCACAGAGGGTCAGACTAGGTAATCTTACCTCTTCAGCCCTTATTCTTAACACTGGTATACCACAGGGTTGCGTGTTGAGTCCCTTACTCTATACTCTTCATGTGCATCACTGCATTCCCACTCACGCTAGTAACACTATTGTTAAATTTGCAGATGATACAACAGTAGTGGGACTTATCTCGGGGGATGGTGGATGAGTCTGCCTACCGAGATGAGGTGGACCGGTTGCTTTCGTGGTGTGAAGACAATAACTTGGTCCTCAACACCAATAAGACCAAGGAGCTTATAGTGGATTATAGAAAGAACAGATTGGACATCCAGCCCTTGCTTATCAATGAAGACCGAATGGAACAAGTGGCCAGTTTTAAGTTTCTGGGTGTTACCCTAAAAAAGGACCTGACCTGGGATGCTCACATTGCAGCCCTGGTCAAAAGGGCCCAGCAGAGATTATACTACCCGAGACTTCTCAAAAAACAACAACTGAATGAAAAACTTCTGGTGACCTACGGCTGCACCATAGAGAGTATCTTAACATACTGCACCTCTGTATGGTTTGCCAATTGCACAGTGGCAGATAGGAAAGCACTCCAGAGGGTTAATGTCATTGCCCAGAAGTTCATTGGTTGCCCTCTCCCCTCTTTGGAAGAGCTTTATAGCTCCCGCTGCCTTAAGAAAGTTCAAAACATTCTCAAAGATCCATCTCATCCTGGGCATCCTTTTATTTGAACTATTACCATCTGGCAGACGGTACAGGAGAATAAAAACAAGGACAAATAGGCTGAAAAACAGCTTCTATCCCAGGGCAGGAGCTCTTTTGAATTCTGCTGTATAGTGCAGTGTTGATGTGGTGTTGGGGGTTTTCGGTTCAATGTGTGAAGGGTGAAGGATGTGTGTTTGTGTTTCTTTTCATGGTCATGGTCATGATGTGCACTGAAGATGGTGTTTGATTTTGTTGTACGAGGTGCAATGGCAATAAAGGAAACTAAACTAAAAATTTTAATGAAGAAAATGCTGAAGCAGAAGTGAACTGATCAGGGATTCGGATATTCTCTATTTTAGGTGAATATATAACATATAATCCCTTTGAATGATCTGGAAATACTTCTTACTTTTCAATAATGTTTGGATTCTCAAGTGACAGTGCTGGAAAAGAATGCAACTGCACAATTACACCTAGTAGCAACTACTTCTAAGCTAGAAGATTAAGCAGGAGTCACCTATTCCTTAATTACATATTGACTGACTATGCAATGTGTTATATGCAGTGCTGCATTTGAATCTCCAGAAATTTAACTAAAATACAGCAATTAAATTGCTAGATGTGTTATAAAATTTACAGTTATTGTCAAAAACAATTTAAAATGTTAAACTTTAAATGATTTCAAAGCTATCTGAAGAACTATCTCAATATGAAGCCAGTCAGATACCTTCCCTTTATGGGATTCACTTGTTCAAAATACAAACCAGGCTTTGGGATAACCTTGTTCTGTTTCATTAGCTCTTTATGTATCCCTGCATCCCTGAATAATTTAAACACTTTCTGTACTAGATATCTTCTGCTTTGGTAATAAGAAGACAAGTCTTTATCAATACAAGATGAAATATGACAAAATTCTGGGAAGCAGATGTATGGCTATAGAGGTGGTGGCAGTACTAAAGATACTACAGTACACTGGTTAGAATAGATTTGGTTCTGATGGCTATTGAATATAATCCAGAAAAGAGTGATTAGATAGACTAAAATGATTTGGGTGGTTTTTGTACTATTAAAGGCTCATCTGTGTCTGAGTAGATGAAGTCCACAAAGAGGGTGAGACTCACAGGAGAATTTCTGAAAAGAAAAACCACTTCGGAATCTAAGAATGAAGAATGTGTCAAATGGAATAAAAAAAGACCAAAAGTTTATGTCTGATAGTTATAAAGTAGTTCCACACTAATTCGTTGCCTGTGAGATATAGAAAATTGCCACTAACTTAACATAAGTGCTTTTCTTAAATCTAGTTAAATAGAGAATTTCTAGTGCTTAAAAACATAGAGGGGTATAAATATGTTAACATATCACATATTTTAAGCAAAGAGACTTGAACCTGGGAAAGTGAAACTGAAATTGCTTTTTAATGTCTGTTAAATTAATTTTTTTTAAAGTATGCATAAATAAGGTTTTGACTCCTTTGTTTTCTTGGGAGGATACTCCCTTTTCAGAGCAGGGATTCCTTTTCTTTCCTCGGCCCCGCCCTGGGATTTCTTTGGCACAACTTTATCTTTTTCCCTCCTCTGGGCTCTTTCAAAAAACCCAAACTCCCTCTCCCCCCCCCGCCCCCCCCAATTGCACAGAGCTTGGATCTTTCTTTCCTCCTGGCCCATACAGGCAACACCCGTGCAAATGACTTAGAGTTGGCCACACCCACCCAGTCATGTGACCACCAAGCCATGCCCAGCCAGTCACCCTGTTTGGGGTGGGGGTGGGGGGGGTGGCATGTCAGGTCCCATAGGTTTCTATAGGGACCCTGTCATTCTGGTGGGAGTGGGGAGTCTGGGAACGGTCTCTGTATGGAGTTTCTGTTTCTATTCCCTGCTCTGACAGGCTCCATGAAATGAAGCCGGCAACTGCTTGCTGGGAGACTTTACGGGGTTAAGCTGCCCTGGTGGGGTGCTGAAGAAAGGAGGGATGCTTCGTTGATCGCGAGGAAAGTGCCATTCCCTCATTGATCCGAAGAAAGCTCACCTGAATGGCAGCAGCGACGACAGCCATTCAGTTACAAGCTGGGACAACTGGGACTTATTAAGACCTTGTGCTGGAGCGGTGCGGGGACAGAGCAGTGAAACCGGGTGAGATAACTTCCAACTGTTACCTTAGAGATTTAACCCAAGTAAAAAGTTCCAGAAAATGATCTCCTAATGTAAAGAAAGTGGCAGTTGGATTTATGGAGAAAGATTAAAGACAAAAAACTAAAGAGGAAAATTAAAGATTAAAGATCTAGAAGTAAAAGAATTCCTAAAGGATGATTTAAAATATAGAAAGATTGGAAAAGCCGAATAACATTGTGAAAAGTGATTATTGGGAGAAATTGCTTTTCTAAACTTTATTTTTAGCCCCCCCCCCTCCGCCCCCCATGACAATAAGTAGTTTTTGACTTTTACACTCTGTTAAATGCTGCAATTGGGAGCAGGAGAGCCATCTACTGGAGGAAGAAGATGATTGCAATGTGTAAAAACTCAAAGGAAAGTGAGTAAATAATGCTTGGAATAGCTGCTTGACCTTATCTTATTAGGCGATTTAGATGCTGGGAAATATTCACTAAGCTTTTTGAAGATCCATAAGGCAAATTAAACTAAACACTAACTTCAATGGGACTGTGCATTGAAAAGTGGATTTGAAAGATTTGGAGAAATCTGGTGGGCTAAGCTTGATTTCGGTTAACATCACGTGACAAATCATCCTATGAAGCAAAAGAAGAAAAATGATAGAAGAGAAAAAGAAGAAGAAAAAGAAGAAAAGATAAATAAGATTTTAAAATCTGGACAATTGGGAAGATGTAAACTGGAAATTATAAAAACTAGTGCAAATCTATAGCACTTAAAGACTAGAAATTTAGGAGACTTGGAGGAATAATTTTGGGATTGACCAAATTTTATTAACAATTGATTTTTTTCTGGAGTTTTTAGATACTGGGACACTGGAATATTAGAGGTATATTAATTTGGTACAAAATGACCCAGCAGGAGACAATAAAGTTCTATGAGGAAATGTTAGAAATGGCAATAAAGAATTATAAGGAGTTGATGGAAATATTTAAAGATAAAGATGTGAAAGTAGAAGGGCCTCAATAAATGGTTGGAAAAGATGAATATAATACACCAAAGACAGATGAAATTAGTAGAAGTGGTGGAGGACACAAAGCAAAATAAATATCTTCTTTATACAAGAAGATAAAAATAAGTTACAAGCAGATAAAAACACTGAAAGGACAGTAATAATAAATATTAAAAATCAAATAGATAATCCCTTAAGAGCTTATAATAGAATATAGAAAAAAGGAAGATATCCAAAAATAATGAAAGGGTTATGGATGAATATACAAAAGATGCAGCCAAAGGAGATAAAAGGCAAGGCAGAGGAATCAATTAGTCTGTGGAAAAAATCTAGAAAGACATATAGGATTCCAAGAGATAAATATAACAGGAACCACACACAAAAATTTGATGAAATTCTAAGAAGACTGAGAGATGATGGATAGAGACATAATGCCTTGCAATATAGTAATTATATTAAAAATCAATAGAAATAAGGGAAAGTTTAAATTGGGAAAGTAACACATACAGTATATAGATATGTAATATTATTACCATAGATATATTAAGATTAGGAGGTGGAACACTAGGATTAGATATATCTAAATGTATTATTATGATTAACAGGGTGCAAAAATATACTGGAATACATAGTTTTCAAGGACTATAAATACAGGGGACTTAGAGATATAATCTGGGGACTGATTAAATCTTATTAACAATTGGTTTTGTTGGTATTTATAGAAAATTAAGATATTGAAAATGTGGTGGAACACTGAGTGATATTTATAATATTAAAACATTAGTGACTTAACGGGATAATAAGTATATTATATGAAGAAATGTTATTGGTGTTAACATATATTTTTGGAGAAAGTGATAAAAATCATAAAGAGAGAATAGTATTGTTTAAAGATAATGAGGTGAATATAGAAAAACCCCAACAAATGGGAAAAATAACAAAATAAGTATAAATTGGGAAAACAGTAGTATATATATATATACACAAGAATATATTTATCATTATGATGAGCATATCAAGGTTAGAAGTTGGAAGATAAAACTCTCTGTGTGTAATTGTATTATTACTGTCAGCATTGTGGAAAAACCCAGTCATTACACTTCCACAAAAATTTTGGTTGTTAAAGGAAAACTACAAATAAAACATATACAAAAAAAAAAAAGTAAAAGTAAAAGTGAAGTAAAGTAAAGTAAAGGAAGGAAGGAAGGGCCAGATAAACCACTTGTGGGATGTTTTGGTCTTTTAACTAATCGTTGATTTTCTCCAGATGTTGTCTGATGATATATTCTGAGTTTTTATTGTAAGCTGTCCAGAGTTGTAACACATTGGGATGACTTATACATCTCAGGAATAAATAGATAAACAATCCTGGGCACCAAAGCAACAGAGGAACTTCTTTTCATTCAACTGTGGAACAAGAGGAGGAATCAAAGTAGGAAGATCTTGTCTAGAAGCTGTCGTGGTCCTAATTACCACTATGACATCTGGGAGTTATGGTAATTAGAACTGAATACATTAGGCAAGAGATCACCAAGTTAGGGAAGAAGTTAGCAGAAAAGAAATTATCCAGTCATGTAATTTACTGTAAACTATTTTCTTATAGTAAGCATGTTGAGCTGATGATAAGTAGGAACTGTGGTGCTGAGCTGAGAGCAACTGTTAAAATAGAACATAGAATAATAAGCTTGGAAGGGACCTTGAAGGTCTTCTAGTCCAGCCCCTGATCAAGCAAGGAGAATCTATACCATTTCAGACAGGTGGCTGTCCAATCTCTTCTTTAAAGTCTCCAGTGGTGAAGCCATTTCACTGGTTAATTGTTCTCACAGTTAGGACATTTCTCCTTAATTCTAGATTGTTTCTCTCCTTGGTTAGTTTCCATCTGTTGTTTCTTGTTTTGCCTTCTAGTGCTTTAGACAATAGATAGATCCCTTCTTGTTTGTGGCAGCCCTTCAAATATTGGAACATTGCTGTAATCAGCGAAGTAGTTTGAATTTATTGCTCAGACTAACAGTATCAAATCTTTTATTTACCTTCATAATCCAAGATAGAAACTTTCTATGAGAATTGCTTGGGAAATCTGCCCCCCTTCTTTTTAAAAGAGATCTGATTAGACAATCACTAACAAGCAGTAATCCTATTACTAGGCCTAAATGGATAGGAACTCGTGTCTAGAAGGCGTGATCCATATTTCTGTTATCTTTCTCCTGGAAACTAAGTATTTATCTGCTTATGTATATCTTACCTTTGGGAAGAAGTTGACTCTTAGAAACCAAGTAAATAAACGTTTTACAGTACTTTGTTGCCTTGGTTTTCAGTGACGATAGCACTCTAAGCTCAGTGACAGATTTCATTATATTCCATAGTTTCAAAAAGCCTCAAGAGTTTGTTACAGTTTTTCACTGAGGTACCTCTCCAGAGAAGTGATAATACATTGCTACACTGCATGGTTGAGACCCACCCTTGGAATTCTACATTCAGTTCTAGTCACCATGATACAAAGTAGATTGGGGTGGGATTGTTTTTTTAACAACCAGTTCTGTGGGCGTGGTTCGGTTGGTGGATGTGGCTTGGTGGTCATGTGACTGGGTGGGCGTGGCCAATTCAACATCACTCATGTCAAGGGGCACTTCTCCTCACCTGGCCTCTCATGACAGTGGGGATGCTGCAATGGTCATAAGTGTGAACAATGGTCACATGTCACTTTTTTCAGTGCTATTGTAACTTTGAATGGTCACTAAATGAACTGTTGTAGGTCAAGGATTACCTGTACAAAAATACAAAAAGCTTTTTTGCTTGCAAAAAGCTACCCCAAATACCAATAATTAGATTAAAAATATCTGCAGGCCAGAATTACAAACCAGGCAGGGTGCCAGAGCACCTTGTGGAATGAAAATAGTTAAAATGCAGTAATAACTATCAAGCAGCCATCTCTTGATCATAAAGTGAAACCCTTTAGCAGATAGGTCATTTAAGCTCTCCAGAAAGAGCACACCCAGGAGAAGCAATCCTTAGATCCATTTGCACCACTTAAAGATACCAGCTGGTCTCACTCACCTCACAAGGTATCCCAAGGAAATCATCCAGGTTTAAGAAAAAGTCACATGCTGCCCAGAAAGGCAGTAAAAAAAAAATCAGTGCCATATAGAACCGGACAGAACCAGTAGAATCCCACCCTTGAAGTAGATGCTAAAACTCGAGAAAGAGTTCAGAGAAGAGCAATAAAGAAGATAAAGGAGATCATTTTATTGAAGACATTTTTTAATAAAATAAAAACAATAAAACATAAAACAATAAAGAAAAAATAGTAAACAGTAAAAAATAGAAAAAAGAAGCAGAAAAGGAAAAGAAAAAAATATACAGAAGCTGCTTTCGATTTTAACAGCTATAGTGACTGTCAGCGTTCCAGAAAACCTCCACTCCAACAAATAACTCCGAGACAGACATCTTCTCAAAAGTTCTGTTTTATTTGGATAGTAAACTGGCACATCTGGGGAATCACGAATCTGAAAGTTCCAGATTTCCTTGCAATGAGTAAAAACCGGAAATCCACCCCCTGCACCCACATCACATGCCCCAATCACCATCCGTCCCAATTTGAGACGTCCCCTCACCCAGGTCCCCTCATAATATGACCTTGACTTAGAAGAATGCTATTATGTCTAACCACATACACTCTAAGAAATTCCCCCCTCCCATTTTCCCAGGCTCAAGAATGTGGCAGTGTGGAAGCGTCTGGTCTCAATATGGCTTCCAAAGCTAACAGATGTCCCCCTTGAAAAAATCATGTCCTGAAATATATAACAAACAAAACACAAACAGGGGGTAATGCCCTTAACCACCTCTCTCCCCTCCAAGGGGACCCTTTGTCTTGTCGGGGAATTTTTCATGAAATTGTTTAATCAATCTATCTGCATGCATATCCCAACTTTTCACCCAAGTAGCTTCCGACAAAGGGCAGTCTTTCCATAGCACTAAATATTGTAATCATCCTTGGTGTAATCTAGAGTTGAGGATTTTCTTTATCTCATAATGAGTTTCGCCCTGTACTACCAGAGGTTTGGGGGGAGCTGCCGGTACAGGTCGTAGATTGGAACCAATAGCAGGCTTCAACAAGCTACTATGGAATACTGGGTGTATTTTCCCTAACAGCTGAGGGAGGCTAAGTTGTACAGTCACTGGATTGATTACTTTCGATATAGAGAAGGGACCCAAAAAATTTTGTCCCAACTTTTTATTAGGAAGCTTCAACTTAAGATAGTTGGCAAAAACACTTTGTCCCCCACTTTAAATGGTGGTTGGAGAGTTCTATGTCTTTCTGCCTATTTTTTATATTCCTCAGTTGCTTCCGCTAGAGCATTTTTTTGTGTCCTCCCAACCTTTTTTTTAATGATTCCATCTAATCCGTTAAGGACATGAATGTTGGGGGATCTCTAGGTAACTCTGGCATGGGGACAAATTCCATGCCAGTAGTGATTTGGAAAGGAGTCAAGCCAGTGCTGCTGTGTACCACATTATTGTAAGCAACTTCTGCAAATGGCAACAGATCCACCGAGTTCTCTTGTTGATAATTTACATAATATCTAATATACTGTTCCACCATACCATTCTCTCCCTCAGATGCCCCGTTATAAGCCAGATAGAATGCTGAGGAAAACCCTTGGGAACCCCAATAGATTTCAAAAACTCCCTTCAGAATTTAGCAGTAAAGTGTATACCTCGGTCTGAGATTACTCAATGAGGCACTTCGTGGAGCCGATAATACGCTTCATGAATAGTTTCGGCAGTTTTTTAGCTGAAGGTAGTCCATTACACGCTGTAAAGTGGGCTTGCTTGGAGAATAAATCGATAAGAGTCCAAATCACAGTACTTCCTCCACTCTCTGATAATTCCACAATAAAGTCCATTGCGATTTCTTCCCACAGCTTTGTTGGTTCAGCTACTTGTTGGAGACCAGGGGGTTTCCCAGTTCTATGTTTCATCATGGCACAAATTGAACAGCTTTATACGTAGTCCTCGATATCAGTCTTCATTTTTGGCCACCAGAATTGTCTTCTGACTAAATGTAGGGTTTTTAGAAACCCAAAGTGCCCCCCGCAACTGTGAGCCATGGCTACGTTTTAGTACCGTCAGTCTTAGAGTATTAGGTACATAAATCTTGGTTCCTTTCCAAGCTAATCCTTTGTTCATTGACAAATTGGTTTGATTTTCAGCAAACCATGGATTGTTTAAAAGAGTTGCTTTCAAATTAGTTGTAAGTTTGTCCTCAAGGAGTCTAGGGCTGCATTTGGCTTGGCCTCTGGTGGTTGCTTGGCCGGCGGGTTGGGCTTCTGATATCATAGTTTGCACTACTTCCTCCCGGTGACTGTCAAATTGGAGTTTTCTTGACAAAGTATCTACCAATAAGTTTTTCCCTGCTGGGATATATTTCATGTTAAAGTTGAATCTCTTGAAATATTGAGCCCAGCGGACTTGGACTCTTTGGAGTCTTGAGGTTCTTATGATCAGTCCACATATCGAAAGTCTCCTTCACTCCTTTCAGGAAATGCCTCCAAGATAGTAAAGCCTGTCACATGGCAAATGCCTCTTTTTCCCAAACCACCCACCTACACTCTGTGACTGTCAACGTTTTGGACACATAGGTGCAAGGCATCAGCTGGTCTTGAGAGTTTTTTTGGAGAAGAATTGCCACGACAGCCACATAACTGGCATCAGCTTAGACTGCAAAAAGTTTGGTTGGGTCCGGATGCTGGACGATAGGCTCAGTGGCAAATAGGTGTTTTAATGTCTCAAAAGATTTCTGACAATTCATTGTCCAAGTAAGGGGTTGATTGGGTTTTGGTTTGGTCAGGGAACGCCCAGTTTTCAGTAACTCTGTTAAAGGGAGGGTGACCTCAGCAAATGAAGGAATAAATTGTCTACAGAAATTTGCAACATCCAAGAAGCTCTGAAGTTATTTATGTGTTTTTTTAGTTTACTTACTTTATTGCCATTGCACCTCGTACAACAAAATCAAACACCATCTTCAGTGCACGTCATGACCATGACCATGAAAATAAACACAAACGCACATCCTTCACCCTTCACACATTGAACCAAAAACCCGCAACACCACACCAACACTGCACTATTCAGTAAAATTCAAAAGAGCTACTGCCCTGGGATAGAAGCTATTTTTCAGCCTATTTGTGCTTGCTTTTATTGTTCTGTACTGTCTGCCAGATGGTAATAGTTCAAAAAAAGGGTTCCCAGGATGAGATGGATCTTTGAGAATATTTTGAACTGTCTTTTTTTTTTTTTTTGTAAATTTTATTTGAGTTTTCACAAAGAGAACAAAAATACAAATAAAACATCTTTTTTGAAAGCAGCATAATCCCGGGTTACATTTCTTCGTACAGACACAAATTCAGGTTCATGCTCATTTTTATATTCTATTCCATATCTTATTACTATTTTACATTTTCTGCATAGCTTCTCTCCTCTTTTAATTTTCTCAATTTTATTTTAATTATCTCATCTCAATTCAAATCATTGTATTTATATTTTTTGTCTGTTCCTGTTTCAATTATCTATTATCTTTTCTCATTAAACAGAATTTCTCCTGTAGTTACTGATTGGAGTATGACGCCTTTATATCTTTTCCCTAAAGTTGTAACATTCAATATAATACATAACTTCCATTCGGATTCTGCTTGGTACATTCTTAAAATACACACTGTATTCTTAAAAAAAGAAAAAATTATAAATTTATATAATTAAAACAACGTTCCATTCCAATTCAATTCTAACATTAATATTAATATTCATTAAAGTCTTAACATCTTTAACATTACTTTTCAATTAAATATCATACTTCTATGGGAAGTATAAGCTTTCCATAGTTAATTTCCCCCCCTCTTCACTTATAGTTTATAAAACATTATCTAATTAAAATGTCCCCGTTCCTTCCTAATTCAATTTTCTCATTTATTGTATTTCACTTATTTTATTCACAAACATTTCACTAAATTACACTAACTGTTTTATCCCTCATTTTAATCATATGTTGTTTCCAAGTTTCTAAAGTTATTTCTATGACTAATATAACAATACAATCTTATGTACCTTTACAGAATCACTTTTTCAGTTAGATTTTCACCCATTATCTCTAAATAGGTCCTGTTTCTCTATATCTTGCTCCAGTCCTTTCTAACTTCTTTTCCTTTCCTTCTTCCCTCTCTTCTTCTCTCCCCCTTTTACCCCCTTGTCTCTCTACCTCTATTTATCTCTTCTGTATTCCCCTTTTCTGTTGTTTTCCAGTATTATACTTATTTTTTGAGTTATTTTTCTTTTCTTTGGTTGTTTTTTTAAGTCTTAAATTCTCCATTCTCTTTTCCCCCTTTCCTTTTTCTTTCCCACATAGAATTACTTGTTCATTAAAGATGGCTTCTTCTTTGTTCCAGTCTTCTTGTTTTGCGGTCTTTTCTTGTTGTTTCTCATAGTTCCAAATCTCCATTTCTAAGAATTGAAAAACGAAGCCAAAAGAACCCTTCCCTTCTTGTGCATCTTCTTTGTACTTTTTAAGTTCCATTTTCAATTCATCCAGAAATGATGCCATTGTATAAATTTTTAAACAACCACCCAATTGATTTTAGTCATTCAAATATAATAACCAAAAATCCAAAGATCACCAAATAATCCAAATACAAGCAAGCTGTTTCTTTTTTGCTCTTTTTTTTCACTTTCTCTTCTTGGGGTTACTATTTAGTTGCAAAGTTTCAGTTAAAATGTATCTTTTAGAAGTCTTGTTGAAGTTTTACTTTAGATTGTTTTTAATTCCAGGCAGTCTCCTGCCTCTTCCAGATCCTGCCCTTATTCTTTTTCTCTCCCTTCCTGCTTATGAAAAAAGAAGTTTTTAATGTCCAGAAATCTTTGGCATTTTGTTTTATTTTCAGCTTAATTGCCTATTGATGCCAAAACGGATTTTTCCGATTTCTTATTTAAGTCTCTTAGTTGTCAGTATAGGGAAGGAGAGAGAAGAAGAAAAAAGCCAAACCTTTCCCTTTTCACTTTCCTTTGCTGATTCCGACTCTTTTTTGGGAGCGATGTTGTTTTTTGTAAGTTTAAATTCCAGGGTACCTTGGTTGTTGCTT